GCTTCATTTATTAACCAAGTTATCATAAGTAAACCTAACCTTCTTTTTGGTTAGGTTAGGTTAGGTTAGATTAGGTTAGGTTAGGTTAGGTTAGGTTAGATTAGATTAGGTTAGGTTGGGTTAGGTTAGGTTAGGTTAGGGTAGGTTAGGTTAGGTTAGGTTAGGTTAGATTACGTTAGGTTAGGTTAGGTTAGGTTAGATTAGGTTAGGTTAGGTTAGATTAGGTTAGGTTAGGTTAGGTTAGGTTAGATATCCTTCAAGTAATTACCGTCTCAATACCGTAACTTCGTCCCCTATTATCCGTCTCTCAAGGTGACAGAATACAACACTGAGCTATGGTAGAGTCTCGGTGCAATTTGGCAGCCATTTTGTTTCCATTTTATGCATCACAGCTTACCTGACTCTAAGAAACCGATTTTAGTCGAGTCTCAGTGCAATTTGGTCGCCATTTCTATCCCAAGAAGTTAATTGAGGGTCTTTATTTATTTATTTATTTATTTTTATTTTTTGAGAATCCATTTTTTTCATAATTTTAAGAGTTTTTTTTTCACGTACGATAAATAATAATAAAGAAAATGAGAATCCATCTTTTTTATCGTAAATTAAGTGAATAAAAATAATAGTTAAATAATAAATGCTTTAATTAAATACTCTAATATATATATACAGATTAAGGGAGGAAACATTTTTTGCTTCATATTTTCTGAGAATTAAATAAGACTTTGGGGTTAATTCTCACAATACAGTTTTAAGAGGAAAAATTGACGCGTTACTGAGAATTTATCATCTTGTCAGTGTTGAATGTTAACTCTTAGAAGGTTAAAACATCGTTCTCAAAGGGTTAAAACATCGTCCTCAAAGGGTTAAAACATCGTCCTCAAAGGGTTAAAACATTGTCCTCAAAGGGTTAAAACATCGTCCTCAAAGGGTTAAAACATCGTCATCAAAGGGTTAAAACATCGTCCTCAAAGGGTTAAAACATCGTCCTCAAAGGGTTAAAACATCGTCCTCAAAGGGTTAAAACATCGTCCTCAAAGGGTTAAAACATCGTCCTCAAAGGGTTAAAACATCGTCCTCAAAGGGTTAAAACATCGTCCTCAAAGGGTTAAAACATCGTCCTCAAAGGGTTAAAACATCGTCCTCAAAGGGTTAAAACATCGTCCTCGAGGAGTTCGCTTATCTTGTTATTTCTTCTTATTCGTGTTCTTGTTCATGTTCTTGTTCTGACAATAAATCTTTTTAAATTTTGCTTTTTTCTAACCAATGCCTAACCTAACCTAACCTAACCAGACCTGTTAGATTCACGGCCCTATGGAACACCTACCTTTGTGGGGATAAGGGCCTCAACAGGTGTGTGGGTGAGAGAGAGAGAGAGAGAGAGAGAGAGAGAGAGAGAGAGAGAGAGAGAGATTCAAGCTATTCACTGAACCGAAATAAACAAACCAACGTCAGGTGTGATTAGGCCAATTATCCTGTTAAGGTGAGCTCTAAGCCAGGCCTAATCCCGAGGGGTGGTGTCCAGTGATAGATAGATAGATACAGGTAGATAGATAGATAGATACAGGTAGATAGATAGATAGATACAGGTAGATAGATAGATAGATAGATACAGGTAGATGGTATATCCTTCGGGTATTTTATATCAGTTTGAGAATTCTTTATCGGAGTGTGTATACTGTACGTGTGGGTGGGTGGCTCACACACACACACACACACACACACACACACACAGTCCCCCCCCTCCCTCTCTTAATTCACTACCTCTCCTAGGCCTCGACCACATGAGCGCTTTTATAAACATTTCTTGGATTGAAAGTTACTTCGATCAAGTTTTTGGAGCCATTTTACTGGACGATCGTTATAGTCAATGATTGTTAATGATCTCGTAAGACTCCTGGGTCATAACACGGCTAATACCCCCAGCCGGTCCCACACAGGCAACCCTCCCTACTGTACCTACTACTCTACATATAACACTTTCAGTCCTCCTCCTCGCCAGCCACTTACGACTCCACAATCATTTTCTCTTTGAATTCTCTCGTTTCTCTTTAATAATAACAGTAATACCAAGGATAGCTGGTGTGTCGTCTGCTGCCATCTCCCCCTTGTTGTTGTTGTGATGTTCCGTCTCCCAGCGTTCACTTGTTTTTTTTTTCCCTTGCTGTAAAAACTGGACCAAGAAACAACCCGTGTGGCCATTGAAGAAATTAATAGTATTTTCGTGCTTCAAAATTCTTGCTTTAAATTAATTGCTCATAAAAGGACTCGTGTGACCCCGGCTTAACACACTCACACACACACTCACACACACTCACACACACACACTCACACACTCAACTCCCGGAAACAAACTCTTAACATCTACTCAACTCCTTCATCATCGACTTACTGTTGTTTTACTTTGTTCTTGGCATTTAATTGTTTTCTGGGATTAATTTCATGTTTAATTTTTATTAGTATTTTTTGTTATTATATCTATGACCTTTACTGTTTATTAAATTATAGAATAAATTTGGAAAGTTAATCTATTCTTTAATTATTTGACTTAATTGGTTGTTCTTTGAAATTGTCTGCATAAGGTACTATTATTATTATTAGTAGTAGTAGTAGTAGTTGTAGCAGTAGTAGTAGTAGTAGTAGTTGTTGTTGTTGTTGTTGTTGCAGTAGTAGTACAGTAGTAGTAGTAGTAGTAGTAGTAGTAACGTCAGCTGTCTTATACCCAAACCCTAATGTATATTATGTGTGTATATATGGAACAGAACTAGCGTAAAGAATGACACCCTTGGGCATAAATTTTCATTCTCATGTTAGTAACTCAGTGAGACCAGTGTGATAGTTGGCTGTTGTCTCATATATCTAGTTATTAACAAAGGAAGATTCACATTGCTTTCTATACCCTGATAATGTGTTTTGATGGTGGCAGCACAAGTAGTTATATCTGGTTAATTGTGTCGTTTGGTTCGTTATGTAATCACCTAATTCTGTTTGTTATTTATTGTATTATAAGAACATGGTAACGCAAGCTTAACTAGGCCTCATGACCCCATACTGGTCACCCAACCATCACTACTTAAATATAACTCCATAAAGCACCCATCCATCTATTATCCAACCAATATTTGCCTATTTCCCTCCTAAATTTATACAGTATGTCTTCAATCATAGCTACGTGTTCACTCTTGATTTGATTGTATCCAGTGTAAGTGTTGGGGGTCTTATCAATATGGTCTTCTTTACTCCAGCTATCATACATTTTTATACCTGGATCATATCGCCCCCTCACTCTACGCCTCTCTAGAAAATAGAAGTTTTTGATTTTTCTTTTTATTATGTTCGTGTACAGTATACTCAAGGTTCCTAATGCTTTCGTGGGAATTAATATCCAGTTCTATACAATGAACGAAAATTGAGCCTCGGTAATTATAATGAGTTGACTAAAGGTAAAATATAGTTGTCAAATAATACTCATAGTTATGTAGCTTATTATTTTCTTTTGGTCTTATTACATACATAAATACATTAATGTCTCCAGGGTTTTTTTTTCATATTTATCATTTACCCATAAATGTTTTTCAGTCAGATTTTTCTGTTTATGAGGTTTAACTGATATACATACGCGTTTCAATTTCTTAACTTTTGAACTTTGTATGTGAAAAAATGTGTGTGTGGGGGGGGGGTGTCATTGTGTGGGTAGGTTGGTGCGGGTGTGTGGTGGTTTTGTTGATGTGGGTGTGTGGTAGTTGTGTGTGTGAGTGTGTAGTGGTTGTGTTGATGTGGGTGTGTTGAGTGTGGTGGTTGTGTTGATGTGGGTGTGTTATGTGTGGTTATTGTGTTGATATGGGTGTGTGTGGTGGGTGTATATGATGGTTGTGTTGATGTGGGTGTGTTGTATGTGGTGGTTGTGTTGATGTGAGTGTGTTGTATGTGGTGGTTGTGTTGTGTGTGTGTGGTTGTGTTGATGTGGGTGTATGTGGTGGTTGTGTTGATGTGGTGTGTTGATGTGGGTGTATGTGGTGTGTGTTGATGTGGGTGTATGTGGTGGTTGTGTTGATGTGGGTGTATGTGGTGGTTGTGTTGATGTGGGTGTACTGTGGTGGTGGTTGATGTGGGTGTATGTGTGGTGTGTTGATGTGGGTGTATTGTGTTGATGGTGGTGTTGTGATGTGGGTGTGTTGTAGTTGTGTTGATGTGGGTGCATGGTGGTTGGGTGTTGATGTGGTGGTTGTGTTGATGTGGGTGTGTGTGTGGTATGTGTTGATGTGGGTGTGTGGTGGTGTTGGATGTGGTGGTTGTGTTGATGTGTGTGGTGGTTGTTTTGATGTGGGTGTGTGTGGTGGTTGTGTTGATGTGGGTGTGTGTGGTGGTTGTGTTGATGAGGGTGTGTGAGGTGGTTGTGTTGATGTGTGTGGTGGTTGTTTTCATGTGGGTGTGTGTGGTGGTGGTGTTGATGTGGGTGTGTGTGGTGGTTGTGTTGTGGGTGTTGGTAGTTTTGATGTGGGTGTTGGTTGAGTATAAACTAGTCAACCCAAATATAACTAATCTATATAATTTTCCATTTATCATGTTAACCAGTATACCATCAGCATTAATTGATATAACACCTTCCACCTCAAGATCAGTGCAATTATATAAATGAAATATAAGTAATTCATTGTTATTTTGCCTCGCTTGTCACTTATTATCAGTGTGTATAGGTGTGACGTTGGGAGGGTAACTATGCCATGTTGTTATAGTGTAACATATTAAGTTTATGTGTTAGTACAGTTTGTTGGTTGACACAGGATACATTTTGGTCTTACTGATGATCTTGTGTAGTATTAGGTTTATTATGGGTGGAGTGACAAGCATCGAGGAGTAACTCAAACAATTAGAAAAGGTCAAGTAAAAAACTGTTTTTTAGGTTTTTTCTTTTATAAATAAGAAAATCTTCATACAAAAATCTTGCTTTGCGTATTTTGCATAAATCAAGAAATAGTTTTTCTTTGCATATAAAATATACATAATTTATATAAAAGTTTATTTTTTAATTCATTCGTACAGTTCTCTTGCATAACACCGTAATACTTTAGTTACAACACAAGGTACGTCGTAACTCACATGACTTAGAGGATTATCACTGACCTTGTACATCAAAACTGCATAAACAAACATGAAACAGCAATAACTGAGTGTGTGAACCACAGAGGGGGGGGGGGGTGTCCATACTTAAGACTCACGCACGTGTCAGATAAAGCACTGCAGTAGTAAATATGGGTATAACAAATTATGGAAGTATTTAGCACATATTTTGCATACACGCGGCACTATCACATTAGGCGGTGGCGTGGCGTGGGTGGCGGGCGTGCCGTGGGCGCGGGTGGGCGTGGGGCACATATGGCGGGGCGCGCACTCCACGCTCACTTGACTAGAGCGACCCCGGTACAGCGGCGCTCGGCCCCCAGCCCCGCTTGAACGAAGCCCCACCGCCCCGCCCCGTGTACGGCCTCACCGAGCACTGGGCCGTGCCTGGCACCTTGTCACAGGCACCAGCACCACGGCCCCTCCCTTGTAGCAGGTGTATGGCAGCGGTCATGTGGCTCCCTGTGGTGGTGTAAGGGAGGGCAGAGCGCTAGCCTCGCACGGGGGCTGCACAAACACGCGGGATGGGCCAGGGTGGGCCATGGTGGGCGTGCGGGCGTTGGTGGGCGAGCTGGCACGGTGACGGTGCTGGCCGTCACATCACTGGTGCGTCACGAAGGGTATCTGGCAGCCTGAGTTAACGTGCTCCATCACCTCCTGCTTCAGGGAACACACCTGGTCCTTCAGCTTGTTCACCACTGCCTGTAACTCTACGTTTTCCCCCTTCAGGCCCCGAACCTTGTCCTCCAGACGACCGATTCTCTCCAGCTTCCTCCGTCGACACTTGGAGGCGGCGATGCGGTTCCTCAGTCTCTTGCGTTCGAGCTTAATACGTTCCTGACACTCCATGTTGATGGGTGACAGCGGCGGGGAGCCACTCACGCTGGGCACTGTCTGCGGCTCCTCCTTGATGTGCGCAGGTGGCAGCAGCCCCAGGTGCGCCGCCGACACATGGTGCTGGTGCTCCAGCGACAGCACGGACGCCGACGTGACGGGCACCTGCTGGTGTGGGTGGTGGTGGTGGTGGGCGTGATGCAGCGGCACATCCAGCTGAGTGTACTGCAGCGGTGCCGAAGACACGGGCGGCGCCACGCTCGTAACCACCACGTTGCCGCTGCTGCTGGTGGCGATGGCATCCTGGTGGTGCAGCTGCTCAAGGGTGTCCTCGAACCCCTTAGCAAATTCCTCCTCCTCGACCGTGGCGGTTTTGGTGGGGAAGAAGAACTGGGAGGGCGTGGTTGAGGCGTTGCCGAGTATAGTACTACCTTGCTGAATGATGAGTCTCTCCAGCTCCGGGGAGGCTAACTTCAGCTGGTTCAGGTCTGGGGAGGTGAGGAGAGGGTTGAAGTTTCCTCCTGGGCGCTGTTTCTTGGACGGTCTGTTGTTCAGGTCGAGGGTCAGTCTACGCTTCATCTGGTTGAGACTTTCCCTAGAGTAGTTAGAGTATGATCCGTCCTCGTACATGGTTGCCTCCATAACTATCCCGTCCACACACAACACTAAGTTCTTGGCACGTGGTGAAGCACGATGAGTCACTTATCGGACGGACTCACTTATGAGGCACCGAGTCTTATTCACCACTTGCGAGAACGGCACACATCCAGACTCTCTGCTGTCTCGTGGTTATATGAGTCATCTGCTGGGAGAGAGCAGATCTTATACGATTTTGTCATTTTCTAAAAATAGAAACATAACGTCATTTCTAAGCGCTCCCATTGGTTGATTATGACATCATTGATTTCGCAGAAAGGCAGCGCGCGCCTCTATTGGTTGATACTGAGAACTGTTAAGCCTCGTTGTTGCCAAGAGTACAAATATAATTAACTTAAAATTATGATTGTAGGTATATTAAACTTGAAAAATAATACAAAATTATATATCGAATAGAGTATAATTGAATCTCATTGTTTCTGAGGAACTAAATAGATGTTTACGTACACTTACTACTCCACAATGTTGTTTTGAAAATCTGGCATTTTGTGTAGGAATAAGGTCCCAACTTTCAACCAATAGGAGATAACCTTTGTATTTAGCGTAGGCGCTGGTTTTCAAATGTATTTCTAAGAATCTTCTATGGACATTTCTAAGTAAAACTCACCACATTCTTAAATAATAATCCCACACACCGGCGTTATCCTATATAGATATCCTGAGAAGAAAAATTATACTTCGATTGTTATTATGGTGCTGGTGAACGATGGCAGCTGTGAGCGGGACTGATGCCATGTGTTGATTATTTACCGTGAGTGGGAGAGAGGCAGCGAGAAGTGGTCCCTACTACCGGGAACTAGTACACCAGGATGACGAGAGGACGGAGGGGGAGGAGATGAAACGTTAGTCCCACGTTTGTATTATGAGGGAGGAGGAGGAGGGTGTTTAATGGTACTAGCACCCACCCACAGATACGCCTTCCAGGAACACCTCCCGGTCTTTGTTTTTGTTGAGGGAGGTATGACAATTGGCCCTAGTCAAGGTCAGAGTGTTCGTTTACTGTGGTGGTGTTCGAGTGCTCCGTGCAGGGAGTGTCAACAAATATACGAATAAAAAATATGGTTTTTATGTATATTTCCAGGACTTGATTGATGGCTGGATACGCAGTTGATGGCAGTTGCTGTCGTTATTACAGTACAGGGTGTGGATGATCGTATTTCTTAAGTGATGGTAGAAATTTGTATTTTTCCAGGATACCAGGCTTATACCCGCCATGGTATTATTATTATTATTATTATTATTATTATTATTGAAATTATAGGAGTGAGTGTGTATATACAGGTAGTTTCATCATCTAAATTATGAACAGTAACGAGAGAAGGAAATTATTTGTTGAAATTATAAACTGAAGGTGATTTGGCAAAACACGCGCGAATGGTCAAGAACCACCTACCTCACTCCTTCCCTCTCTCCTGCCCACCACCTTCCCTCCCGTACTCCCTCCATTTCTTCCTTCCCTCCCGGCCCTCCCTCCCACTGTTGCCTCTCCCTCATTTGGCACTACTCCCCATCCTTTAATGCCTTCCTATCTATCCAATCTTCCAAACCTCTTCCTTTTCCCTCCTTCCCTCCCTCCTTCCTTCCCTCCTTCCTTTCTCTACTCTTCCCCCGCCCCACACACACTACTGCAGTATATTATTCCCCCTGTAACACCCTTCACTCACCAATTGTTCCTTGTTATTGATCAGTTCATGCAATTGCCCAGTGCCTCTGACCAGTACACCATGGCAACGCTTCCCTCCTGCTCTCACACCCACACACTCAAATAAATAGTAATTACGTGTGTGTGTGTGTGTGTGTGTGTGTGATAGTCTTAAAGTTCCACGTGTCCCCAAGGCTGAGATGTGAATATTAATTGTCAACCTCAAGCGTCATGTTTATCATGGGATGTACTGTATTGTAGACGAAGTTGTGTGTGTTTCGAGAATTTCATCCATTTGTATGATAGTATACGAGTAAACTGGTTAATGACTATACAACAGACAGTACTGTACATATTAGCGTTCTGTTGTTGTACGCGAGTTCCTGATCTGCCATGTGCTTGTCTAGGCGTCTCTCGTCGACCACCAACACGTGTCGTGAAGACCCCGACCACCTGCAGCCGGATCTCCCGCGCGTTCCTGGTGACGTTTGATAGCCAGGTGCCTCTTAGTCATCGCTGGAGGTCTTGTTGTGGTGTTAGACTGTAGGCGGTATGGAGTCACCCGATGCAAATCCACCCCAGTTTATTTTACTTGAAGATTAACCACCTCTATCCTATCCTAACCTAACGCTAACCTTACCTATTCCTAACTAACCTAACTCCCTCCCAAATAGTGTTAGGGTGGTTAATCTTCAGGTGAAATAAGCTGGGATGGTGATACCGTAAAGTAACACAGTCAAGTAATATTAAAGTAACACAAAAAATAAGAGGAAATTAACAGTAAAGTAACACATTAAAGTAACAGTAGGGTAAGAGTAAAGTAACAATAAACTAAGAGTATATTAACAGTAAAGTAACACAGTAAGGTAAGAGTAGAGCAACACAGTGAAGTAGCAGAAAAGTAATAAAGTAACAAGGTAAAGTAACATTAGTTAAAATAAGACTTACCTATCCTCATATCTGGTGATGACTGTTTCCTCGGCGTCTAATATTTAGTAACTTTTTGTACATTAAATATATTATGGTTTAATTATACCTATTTTCGTTGATTTAAGGAGCTATGAACACGCATACATACATACATACATACATACATACATACGCACGCATATACATACACACACAAGGAATATTTTATGGATGATTTTATGGAACTTATTTAATTGAATAAAATATCACCCTAAGGTTACCTGGAGGGTTAGGTCAGGTCAGGTCAGGTCACGTTAGCAGTAAGGTTAGGTTAGATTATCATTGTGGGGCGGTTAATCAGCAGGTGAATTAAGGAGGAGTCTCTAATGCTCATGAAACCTGTGGGATAATTTAAGGTTGAACACAGTAGTGGTAGCGGTGTGTTGCGCCATTATTGATAGTTGGGGGGGACGGCCGCCAGGGGGGAGGAGGGGACGGACAAAGGCGCGGCGCCACCAAGGAAGAGATTGACGCCTACAGATATTTCCGGAGTATTTCAGTGTATTTAGTTGTTATTATTTCTGTCTTTTTTGTTATTTTTTCATCATCATCATCATCATCATCATCCTCTTCTTATTTTATTATTATTATTTTCATCATCATCATCCTTGCATTATTTTATTATTATTATTATTATTATTATTATTATTATTATTAATATTATTGTTATTATTATTATTATTATTATTATTATTATTATTATTATTATTATTATTAATTGTCCTTCAATATATTTTAAATTGTAATCCTATAGTTTTTAGTCTTGCTATAGATCAGGTTGCATTAAGACAGTTAGGTGTTACAATAATGATTTAATAATTCTAGTGGGTTTACCTGAAGATTAGTCACCCTAGTTTATTCCACCTGGGGATTATCCTGTCCAGCTTTTGTCACCTAGAGACTATCCATCAGCTTATTTCACCTGTTATCCCCAGCTTATTTCACCCGCATTATTATCCCCAAGCTTTCTTCACCTAAAGATTATCCTCAACTGATTTTCAGGTGAAATTAGCTGGGGGCGGATCTTCAGGTGATCCATCTACTATTATTACTACATAAGAACATACGAATGGGGGAACTGCAGCGGGCCTATTGGCCCATACTGGGCAGTCCCATTTACACTAAGAAAATAAGGAGTCTGCAATAGGCCGGTTGGCCTGTGCATGGCAGCTCCTGTTGGGAGTTACAACCACTCCTTAACGTCCATGAATTTATCTAGCCTCCTTTTAAAGCTTTCCAGCGTTCCAGCACTTACTACAGAGTTGTTAAGCTTGTAGGGGGATAGATCACTATCCTCTAACTACCGCCCAATCAGTCTAACATCAATAGTAGGTAAATTACTATAATCAGTTATTTCAAACTCTATTCGAAACCACCTGGAGAAGCACAAGTTGATCAATGATTCCCAACATGGCTTCACAAGCGGGCGTTCATGTCTAACTAATCTATTAACATTCTTTTCATCAGTTTTCGAATCGGTGTACGAGGGGCACAATTATGATGTGGTATATCTCGACTTTAGCAAAGCCTTCGACAGAGTCCCCCACGAAAGACTAATTAGAAAGGTAGAAGCGCATGGCATCAAAGGTGACATCCTTAAATGGATTAGGGCGTGGTTACGGGACAGGAAACAGCGAGTGAGCATAAACGGCACTAAATCTCATTGGAGCAACGTCACTAGTGGAGTTCCCCAAGGCTCAGTACTTGGACCATTATTATTTATTATATACATAAACGACATAGATATCGGCATAGACAGCAACATAAGTAAATTTGCTGATGACACTAAAATAGGACGTGTAATTAAATCTGACGAGGATTCTGCAAAGCTACAGGAAGATCTAAACAAATTTTTCGAATGGTCGGAAAAATGGCAGATGAAATTCAATGTGGACAAATGTAAAGTACTCAGTATAGGAGATGTAAACAGGGAAACCAGATACCAGATGAACAACGATGCCACAGAGAAATCCGACTGCGAGAGAGATTTAGGAGTAATGATAAGTAGGATCCTTAAGCCAAGTAAACAATGTGTTTTTGCTCGTAACAAGGCTAATAAAGTACTTGGGTTCATACAAAGGAGTGTTAGTTACAAGACTAGCGAGGTCATCTTAAAATTATATCTAGCTCTTGTGAGACCTCACCTGGATTACACAGTTCAGTTCTAGTCACCGTATTACAGAATGGATATAGAATCATTGGAAAGAATCCAGAGGAGAATGACAAGACTAATCCCGGGCATTAGGAACCTTGAATACAGAGACAGGTTAAAGCATCTTAATTTGCACTCCCTCGAGAGACGAAGAGTGAGGGGCGACATGATAGAGGTGTATAAATGGAAGTTAGGGTTAAACAAAGGTACTCAAACTATCCAACCAGGAGTGAACTCGTAACAATGGTTTTCAATTAGACAAATTTAGATTTCCGCATGAAATAGGTAAACACTGGTTTGGAAACAGAGTAGTGGATGAATGGAACAAGTTACCAAATATCATCATTAACTCGAATATGCTGGATAGCTTCAAACATAGGTTGGATGCT